ATATATAACAAGAATTGAACAAGATGATTCAATTCAGTTTATTTTAATTTTGATATGTTATCTAAAAAAATGCATACATACAGTTATTATTTAGCAAAAATTAGAGAAGCAGAATATATCAGCATCAACATCAGTATCAGCCAGTGTTGGTCATTTTATAGAATATCGATATCGATTCGATAAGTAAAACTGGGCTAATAACGTACTGATTTCCCACTTAACATGATATAAAGTTTTAAAAAGTGAATTTTCCATAATAACCCCCTCACACAGCTATCAACTGCTAAATATAACATCTCAAAGCTTATTTTATCTGTTAAGATGACATCATTATACAATACTGTACACTAAATGCTCATAAAAAGCTCATTAAATTGTTTGAATTACGCATGCGCAGTTCACAGTGCATTAACTCATTAACTCTTATCTTTACTTACAGCAAATGATGTTTGTTTCAGTTTTAGGTGGACCTAATGTAAAGTGTGTTTACCTCTCTGCCCCACATACACCACACCGGTGTACTGGTTGACAGCTACGGAGAACACCTGTCCGGTGAAGAGCTCGGGGTTCCGGGGCCAGCTCAGGTCCAGTTTGTAAAGGGGTCTGCCCAGCAGCTGGTAGTCCGGTTTGAAGTTAGGGCTGCTCGGGTGCTGGCTGCTGCTGCTGCTGCTGTACAGCACCGTCATGAACAGGACCAACAACACCATACCGGAAGCTATCAAATAGGTTTGGCTTCTCTTGTTTATCCACATCAGTGTTTACCTGTCTCGTGCTACGACTTCCGCTCAATCTAATCTGCTTTAAAAGCCGAGGAGAACAAAACAACTAATCTCACTGAGAATATCCCAGCCAACAAATACAGACCTTAATTAGGTTATATTGTGAAATTCAGTGTTTACTAAAAACCGACGTTCACCCGGATGTCACGAGACACAACATTTCCGTTCAGAACTACCACAATAAAACAAAAGTAGCTACATTTATCTAAGTTTAGGGCTGATGTCTAACAGTTTAAAGTGATATAATTCTGGTGTGTTAATTTCTTAATAATTTTGGTATTAAATGCTTAATAATTGTGATCAAACACAAATATTTGTAATAAAAGTGATCAGTGATGGTACTGTGACAACTTTTATTTTTACAGTTCCGGTTTTTCAATGCGCATGCGCGTGAGATGCAACACAGCGAACAGCTGTTACGTCACAACGTTTTCGTCTGGCTGGAAGTAGAGCCGACTCCGTGCTGAACTGACACTAAAAACCGTGTAGTTTGTGTAACTTATATTTGAAATGTGGTGCGAATGACAGTGCGCGACACAAAGCGACATATTTCATGTAGAGTTAGCCATCGGGAAACGGACTCAATGGAAGTGGAGGACAGTCCGCTGAACCTGGTAGGTTCCTCAGTTGGTCTGTTGTCCTGCTGGAGGTGCTGACAACATGCTAACCGTCCTGTAGCACCGGAGAGATGACACATTGTTGCATTTCTCCAGGCTGTTTGTAGTGCTCAGTAACGCCCCTGCTGGCCAGATAGCTGAATGTGTTGTAAAATAGGATTATAATGATTAAATCTTTTCTCTTGTTGTTTCTAATTAACTGGATCAACACAAACTTATGTTGTTTATGTTTTCAGTGTGTTAATTTTTACTCCAAAGATTTATTTCAGTGTATTTATACACCTTGTTTTCACCTGGAGTCAATGTGTTGAGTTAAACACACGTTAGGGCTGCACAATATTAGAAAACCTGTGATGTGTGCGATAACAGTGCTTAATATTGCGATGATAATATGACTTGCAATAAATGAACAAATGCGTAAGTAGCTATCAAAAAAAGAAAAAAAATAGTATAGGTCTTCTGGACGGGTTCTTCTCTAATGAAACGTTTCGTCTCTCCTCCAAGAGACTTCTTCAGTCTGAGAGATTTTGTCAATTCTTTTAGCCCAAATTGAGATAATCACTAATGACAATAATAAAAACATGTCTAATCATTGCAGACAAAGAC